ATCTCAGCAGTGAGCAGAACCACTGTGAAGATTTTGCTAGCCACAACTGTGCACACCTGGACTGAGAGCGTGAAATCACAGTGCAAAGAAATATTTTTGCCACACAGCTGTGTTGGGGTTTTCTTTTCTTTTTTACTAGAAAGAAGGTAGAGCGAACTAAATGTTCATTAGGATTCATTTTGATACATTACAACTGTGCGCTGTGTCAAACATGATTCATGTCCTCGTTCATGTCATATTTTCCTGTCACTGTGACAGGAACTGAAAACAGCTGATGTCTAGGAGGTAGAAAGCAGGTGGCTGTCTCAAGCTTAATTCACAGTTTCATCGCACACAAACATGGCTCAATTTGTATTTAAATTTTTTGGGTACATGTCTGGCTGCTTCATAAATACGTTCCATGCAATCACATTAAATGAGGGCCTGAAAACTGCGGTTTGCTTGGCTGCCAGTCATCTGTGTAACCGTCTCACTGACACAAAGTTCTACACTGTGTGCCCCGACAAAAACACTTTAATGCATATTAACTTTAACATCGTTGCTGCTCAAACACTGACATGCTAATGCTAGAAAATAGCTACACCCAAAGGCTTTAGTTTCCATTGATCAATTGTTTTTTGAAGTCTGAATGAGGGGAAAAAACATATTGGGTGGCTGGTTTTTTAAAATGATACTTATTATTATTTGGGTACTTTTTACAGCCCACACATTTACTTTGTTGTGGAGTCTTGTTGCTTTCATTAATCCTATTTTCAGCAAGCAGTAGGCAGCTGTTTTCAGGCAAATAATCTCTTAAAAACCCACAGTATATGACTTGCCCATCCCTAAATGAAGGATAAAGACAAAGATTAAAGTAAATATTGGCAGGGATTAGGGATGTCACGATACCACGATTTTAGTGGGTACCAATAATCAATTAAATGAATGCGTTTCAACTGGAAACCTTTTTATTTAAACAGGAATGCACGTGTGTTCTGACGCAGATTGAGGAATATGAATCAGGATTATTTATATTGTATTGAAATCAGCCAATCCTTTATATCAGACACTACTGAAAAAGGTATCAGAAACGACTCCACACGGTTGTGCGTAAAAAAACCAGCTGTTTTGCTGCAGCGAGTTTTTTTTTTTTTCTTTGAACTTTTCTGTACAGCCACCTTTGTCCTCCTGGTCGCATGCCAGGTATATGTTTATCTGTCTCTTTGTTTAATGTGTCAGATGTTTTGGATCAGTCCCTGGCCAGAGTGCCAGCCGCATGAACTGGCCAAGGTGAACAGGTAGAGAGGGAGACAGAGTCCTTGGAGAAAGCACAGCTGTCAGAAATCCAATGCCGAGGCCTGCGCCGATGCCAGACGCTCTCTCTCTGTCTCACATTTTGTTAGATCTCTAGCTGAGCTCTGGCCCAGTGTTTGAGAGTATCCGTTTGCAAGCTCTCCATCCTTTGCCACCTGACCCGGCTTGAAAGCCACGCAGGCATGTGCATTTGGCCTGTGCGTGCGCACATAGGTGTGATCAGCGACAATAAGAGACAGACAATTCCAAGATTAATAGGTGCCTACAAAGAGACAAAAGGAAGGGGAGCGTTGCAGACTGAAAGGAAGGAGGATTCAGGAACGAGTCTGGACGTGAGTTTGGTGTCCCTGTCACCTGGTTGGAATGCAGAGCTCCTCATTTAGAAGGCTGTGTGATAAGATCAGGAGCAGACACACAGCATTTCCTGCCTACTGCCATACTGTCACTCACCACTTTATGAGACGTACAGTCCTGTTCTTATCCTCCGCTAACACGTACAGACTGTTTAACCTTTTTAAAGATACCTGCTTTATGTTTTTATGATTATTAGCACTTTTGTTTTCTGGGACGGAGCGTTCCGTTGGGTGTATAATGAAGTGTTACATTTTTGGTTGTATGGTTTTTATCAACATGGCAAAGAAGAAAAGATGTGGTTACACACATCGGATAACTCTTCCGGAAGGTTTGTTAATGCTTCAGAAGGATCGTAGGTTTTGAATTCCCATGACTCATTGCTCTGGTCGGTCCTAAAGAGAGGCGGATGTAAAGCGGCAGCTCAGCAGTGTAATTCTATACACGCTGGAAGCTGTGTCCTCATTTAGTTAATCTGTGCATTAGCATAGAAGTCGGCTGCCATACACAGGCAGTCATGGCTCTTTCTTGCCAGCAGGACATGGGGAGGTGGGCAACCCCCCCCCACAACCAGGAAGTCCATGGACTTGTGTGAGTCAGCTTGAGAGGCTGAGATTTTAAAAAATAAAATAAAAGCAGAGGTGGCGTGAGACTTAAAGGACGGTTGAAGAAGGTGCACTCATGTGACACCTCGTGTCAAATGTCTTCAGGGTGTTGGTGGAGGATATTTCTGATACAATTAAACCGTTAGACATGCGATTCAATTAGGTAAGATGTCTCACTTAAGCCAGTGAGCTGTTCCTGTGCGTGAATCGCCTCTGAGAGTTTAATACAACACATAAAATGCGGGGGTACGTCTTTGATATTGTGAAAGATTAAAGGCAGGGTTAAATGCTTGCAGTATGCTATATTTAAAATAGACACTTCCTTCCAGCGTCAGAGTCTTCATACAGGTTTGCATAAAAATAGAGGAAATGGTTTTATTTATAGAAATGTTCTTGATTTTTATCTTTGGTCCTTAAAATAATCTATTTATATTTCCAGTCTCACAGAGAAGGAGAAATGCAGCGTCAGGACTACAAAATATGATTACTGCAATAACGTGAAAGCTAATTACCAATCGTTGGGGGTGGAGACTTTTTTTTTAACTTTTTTATTTTTCAGTTTAATATTTTTTGCTTCTATAACAATGTACCCGCACAGTTTAATGTAGGACCCGAGAGAAAGATTACACGTCACCACTATAACGTGACCGAGCATCAACAGCATAGTTACAGCACCGTGAATTTAAAGCTTTTTGCAATAAAGAGAAATTTCTGAAAGCCTGACAGAGATTTGCTTCTGAGCGTCAGTCGTCTCTGTCCAATTGTTAATATGAACTTTTATGCAGCTCTCTGTGCACATTTTTAGCCTTAACAACGCTTCAGCGGTATGTGTGCGTAGTTAGCCGTGTGACTGCAGACCGGTGATTTAAGGGGTGTTGTTGCAGTGATACGCTCACTGAATGAGACTTGGCTTTTTGGTAAAGAGAGTTTGAATGAGATTATAGGCCTCTGCTGTCCTCTTCTTTCATTCACAAATTAGCTGCCTGCAAAACATATTCATCAAGAATTTCACTGTGATGATATAGGACGACTCCTGTAGGCAGAAGTCTAACACACTTGTGAACATGTTTGAATATCCCTGGAATAAAAGATACAACGAAAATGGACAAAAGGGAGGCTGTGCTTCCATCTCATCTACCTGTCATGAAAAAAGTCTACATTCAAGCTTAAGTTGGTGGTGGAGTAGGGGGTCACAGGTCAGAAAGCCTGTCTTAAAGGGACCTCACGCCCTTATGGATACTGTCTAATTAGCAGAATTGAGCGATGCTGTCGGTGATCCCGGTGCGACCGTGTCGTCCTGCTGGGCCTTTTTTAAACACGACCAGATTGATCGGCGAGCCCTTTTTATTCCTCTGTCGTGAAATAAACCCATTGTCCTCCTGCCCAGCTTCACAGAAGCACCCTGCTAAGCTTATTTAGAAAGCATGCTTGATCTAATTCGTTCCTATACAACAGCAAGTTAAAGAAATTGGACTGTTAAATGAATGCGATTGAAGTCATTTTCTCACTGCAGACAGCCAGTTTCGCCTGTTCTGGTGAAGCTGGTGCGCTCTGTGTTTATTTCCCCAGTCATGTTTGGAAAAAAGCTACCAGATCTATTCCTGAAAGGAGAAGTTTTTTCTTTTCTTTCTTCACTGGCAAAGCGATAATAACATCATATTTATTCCATTAAAATGAAAGCATCTGCACAGTTACACAATCTTTTTGTTTGATATCTCCAAGGAGAGCCACGGTCCCACAGAGAGATTAGATGATGCACTTTTTGTTGCGCAACATCCGTTTCATGGTCCTAGCTGTGAGTCATCCATTAGTTTACAAGCAGAATTCACTGCCACTGCATCCTTGTAGAAAACAAACCAAAATAAGATAATAGCGGAAGTAAATGTCAAATGTTTGGCTCATGAGCATGTTTGTTCATATTTTTTAATAAAGTGATAAACTCCAAGTTTATTAATCTCTTTAAATTCTCCTTGTTTCTGTTTAGATTCGAGTCATTTCTGTAACCACATATCTGTCATCAGACATCAGCCGATGGGGTTCTCAGACTCATAATTATCGTGGATTAAGCTGATCCCTGTTTTTGCATCTAGCCGCTCGGGATCTTGTTAACCCTTTAACCTTAATGACTGTTTGAGAGGGGAAAAGATTACACTGTTAAAGTGAAGACTTCAGCGAGTTTCGGGAGCGAAAATAAATGCAGCGTTGTCAGTGTCTCGTTTTTGACGTATCTGCTTTTTTTCATTTGAGGTAACACGAGGCAGCGAGTCGCACTACAAAGTAGACATTGTTAACATCAAGGCTATTATTTATTTCTGCATCATGAGACTAACTAAATGTTGGTCTGAGATCTTTAGGTCTTTGGTTTTTGCACCACAGGATTGTTTTGTGTGGTTCTAGAAGTTAAAAAAAAAAGGTTACCCAACATTGAGAAAGCATAAGAGGCCCCTTTTCCCTATGTGTGGAGCAGTTGGCCAAGAGGCCCCACATTCCCCTCAGAAAGCGCTATTGGTGAGTGTTGACATGAGGGCTGTGTGATATCACTTTTCGCAGCTCCCACATAATCATCTGTTTCATGCAGGATTACTTTCCATTTCTCCACATCTCTAAACACGCCTTTGAATTTTCACACTTTTAATAAAAACTTCAGCGTACTTGTGTAGTTTCTGCTGGCGTTTGAGAATATCAGCGATGTTTTTTCCTATAAATGTTTGTGCACAGTAAAATAATCGGTATGTTTCTTTCTTGCTGCAGCAGACCTATGTGTCCTCCGGCCACCAGATGGCACCCCCCAGTCCCAACACCAACAGTAGTAGCAACAGCAGTGGCGGTGGAGGGGAACAGCTGAGCAAAACCAATCTGTATATTCGCGGCCTCCATCCGGGGACCACGGACCAAGATCTGGTCAAGCTCTGCCAACCGTAAGTCATTTTTAAACTTTTGGTTATTTTGTACGTAGCACAGCAAGTCGAATTTTTATAAAGTTATAAAATCATCCTCTTTCTCATTTTTTGAGTTACCATCTATCTATCGTCAAGTGGAACATAAAACTATAGGTCGGCTGGGGTTAGCTTTGGAAAACATGAACACTGGATGAAGGAACAATCTAGCTTGCCTTTATTCCATCTATGAAATCCTCGCCTACCAAAAACACTGTATATAAAGGATTAGACGTGACCACAGTGACATCACTGATTGATAAGCTAAGTTCTGTTTCAAGTTTCGAGCCGAGTGTGCCGTTCTAGCTTTTTGTAACCAGTCACGAGTCCTAGATAGATCTGACTGTGAAGCTGACGCACTAAAACCACCTTCACAATCCTACTGTTGACCAAAAAAAAAGACAAAAGGAACATTGTGCTGTTTTCAGTATAAATGGAAACTACTGACGGAGACCATAAGCCCATCAGGAAAGTGCTATTTGACAGCCACGGGGTGTTAAACAACCAGACTTCTTTTTGCAGCCACCTGCTGGACCTTAGAAAGAAAGCACTTCTTCACTGGCTTCCTTTTCCAGATGTGGAGGCTACCTCCATCTTTTAAATACAGCCTTTGATTTTACACACACAGAGAACTAAAAATGGTTACACAATGGAGACTTTTTGGCAAACAACTTCACATTTTTTCCAGAGTCTAATTTTCACTGTAGCCATCGTAAACTAGATGCACTATGCAAATTCTTGTTTGTTTCTGTATGTAGACAGAAGACCTACTACAATCTGTGATATGCAATAACACTGTTCTACTGTGTGATGATTAGATGACAGTATGACTTGCAATACAACGTCTACACAGTTCAGTTGAGAGTTTTCCTTAGGTTGGTGTGGGGCTTACATTAGGTGTAGATGCTGTGTTTGAACGGGTGCAGTGATAAAAGACTTTTGCTGCTTTGTGTGAGATAAGAAGCTGCAAACACATTAGAGAACATCCTGCAACGTTTCTCTGATTCCTTTAGCTGACATGCTGTGTTTGCATCTAAGTCTTGCAGTGCTAGACGAAGCCCCAGACTTAATCTCATGTATGTAACAGTCCGTCCCATTGGCCACGTGTGTGCGTGCTGACAGTGAATGCGTGGTGCACGCCTTTCAGGTTGAATTTTCTTCATTGCACATGTTCCTCTCATAACAATGAAGAAACCGAGACTTATCTGTCGGTGCTAGTGGACACACATGTGTATTGAATGCTGATTGGGGCCTTTGAGGTGCTGCTACTTCTGGCCTTTAAACAGAATCAGGTTAGCTGCTAAGCTAAGTTTATCCTAACCTAAACCAGCATATTCTGACTGTTGGAGTTATGGTGGTGCGCTCATATATACCAAGGTGTAACCTTAGTTTGGGTCTATGAAGCACTTAAAAATGCCTGTCTTATGTTAGTTGTGATAGGGGTGAGTCTTATCACAACTAAAGTCAGTTGAATTAATCTTGATGGGATAGGTGCTGAGATAAAGAAAAGAAACTTACAATATTTCCTCATTTAAACTCAGTGAAGCCAGACTTGTACACCTGGAAACAAACAGCCTAGCCAGTGTAGTTAGCTTTACAGACAAGCATGCAGTTAAACACCCAAACTGGTTTTTGGCTGCTGCAAGTGAGTGCTGTACGTCACAGAAGTGAACTTCAGCCCCACATCCATCAGGGCTCTTTCACAGTAAAAGCATATCCCTGTGAAGAAGCTTACACAACTTCTAATTTAAAAATGCCCGGTAATATTTCCAACATCACAGACCATCCATCTTTAAAACTTTGATTTTAATCATCCTGCCCATACAGAGAAAAGTATCAGAAGTATTAAAATCCACAGGGAGAATTTACTTGGCTTGTGACCACACACACACACATACACACACTCATGAATTGTCGTGTGTGTGAGCAATCTAAGAAGATCAGAAATGTGCAGATGTGAAACACAGGAAGTTTGAGTGTTAAAGAGATTTACAGAGAAGCCATTGTGGATTGGCAGAGAAGTGGAAAGAGGACGGAGACTTTAGAGGAGGGTGGGAGGGCTACTGTTGAAGGAGAAACTTAAATGAGCGGGGAAAAAAGTAGCATGGCCTGCTGGGAAAGAATGTCAGATGACCATATATGGGTTAGGGCTGTCTTTTAGGCCCCTTTGGGCTCCATAGTGTGCTTGGTTGGTGTTCTCCTGCAAAGGAGCCGAGGTAAGCGCAGGGTCACACAGTCAGTGCCCGTTGACCTTTTAAACTCATAGCATTGTTGTTGGGGAAGTCATAAATGACAGCTTTTATTTTTATCTTTGGTTCTAATTATAACTCAGTGATCAGTAAGTCTTAAGTGAGTTTTTTAGATTTCTTTAGTTTAAAGGCATCAGATCGAAACCAGAAAAAATAGAGATACCTAACATCAGGTCAACCAGTTTTTTTTTTAAGCACATTTCTATTGTCCATACAACAAACATAGTAGTTTCATTGTGCCTAATGAACTCACAGCAATGCCACTAAAGACCTTTGGTTTCTAGATAAATGATAGTTAAGTACAATTCAAGATCAAACTCACATTTATTTCACCTTAAAGTTGTTTCAGTCGGACAATATTCATACCTCGAGTACCGACATATAATCCACATTGATAATAAAAAATATTTAGACTTGATTCTCACCTAGACTTCACTTATATCTCTCATCTAAATTTTGCTCTTTGCTTGTAAATGCCAAACATTTTTGCTTTTTCCTAAATAATCAGACGCTTACTGTTCTGACATAATCAGGTGACAGGTGACAAAGTGCTTTCTGTAAAAAGAGTAGTGGATAAACTTAATGAAATTTGTCTCAGAAGGATGTGCGTGCATGTGTGTACGGCATCTTTACTTCCGAGGCTTTATATCAGTGAAAAGACACCGCTATAAAAAGAAACCAGTGGCTTTCAAGTCTGTTTTAGTTAAAGGTGACTGGTTATTTCAAATTTCCAGCTCCTTGTTTCTATTCATGGACCTTGCTAGATTAGCCTGGTGTGATTCAAATTTCAAAGAAATCCTTAGCGCAGTCCCTGAGGTTGTCCGCTGTCTGAAACTTGCAGTTCTGTTAGGTCCGTGTTTGTCAAAATAGGATTATTATGACTTCTGCAGCCATTTTTCTTTTATTTGGCGGTGTGGGACTGTTCTGTGTAATGCAGGGAAAGCAGCAGCACCACCACAAATGCTTCACGTAACATAGCAGGCTTCATTGACAATGCACGTGACATTGATTAAGTCAGCAAGAGCATGAATAACATGAAAAGGAGGAGGTTAGGCGGAGGTGGGTTGCAAAGTGTTTTGCAGAAGTTGAGCCATCAGCTGATTTGGGCTGGCCACCCTCCTATTACAGTAGGTCAACTTCCTTTGACTGGCTGCCTCTCATAAACACAAGGGTTGAACTCCAGGTGGGTGGGGTTGCTGCTTTCATGGCAGAAGGGTGCTTTACCTTAACGTGATTATCCATGCAATCAGAATATTTGTTCAGGAATGAAATGTTGAACTGCACAGGAGCCTCAAAGTAACCAAAGCGTCCTGTAGTACAGAGTACGGCATTTGCATTCAGAATAAAGTGATGTAGAGGTAAAACACAGCACAACATAGAAATACTTGAAGTATAATTACATGAAAATGTCACTGGACACGTTCTGCAGTTTCTCGAATGGCTGTAAACAGCACAGCACCAGTTCAGCTTTGTATACTAACAAAAATCCACCATAAAATCAACTGTGTCCATATGTGAAAGCCAGAGGTCCAACTGTAAAACTTCATTTGGGCTTGAATGGGTTACATTATATCAGGGGTGTGTGTACATTCATGCCTAACAACCACTTTGCAGCTGTTAGATGACACTGGGACAGTATAAACATAGCCTGTGTTTATTTGGTAATGGCTGATGAATTATTAATGCCTGCAATAAGGAGCTTTTCTACCACTATAAACTGTGCAGCGGAGCTTCTAGATTATTTTAATTCATCATAATCGAAATGAATATATACGTTTATTTGAATATCAAACTTAACACACAGACATAAGCTAATAAGGTCAATGCAAACATTCAGTCATGCCCCACCGCGGTAACTGGAGTGGAGCCATAAACGTTGCTCCTATATAACTTCTGGTCTTTGCATTTAGGACAAAAGTGGAGGAGTAGCGATGTCTTTAAATTGAATTGCCAGTCATTACCCACGTCTCTGTTGTGACCATCAAACTTGGTCTGAGTCATGTGGTTAAACGTGCACTGAAACAAGGCCGGAGTGTAGGACCCAGCAGTGTGCTACCATGTGAGGGTGGAAAAACAGAGAGAGAGAGCGGGACGTGGTGGGAAGGAAGGAAGGCGAACTGGAGGGGTGAAGCATCAGGTTACAGTGTACATTCCGCCCAGACGCCATGTTGCCCAAACAGAGGAGCACCAGCCTCTCTCACTGGGTAAATTCACCAGACAAGGGCAGGTCTATTATACTGTAGTGCTGATGCACCGTCTTACAACACTGCATTCCATTAGTCTCAGCATGTTGCATAACACTTCTCATTTGCTGCCTTTAAGGTGATTTTCCTACTATCAATATTTATGTGGCTGGATGTATGCAGAAACTGATTTTCATCTTTTACTGACTGACCTTTGTTGTACGTCTCCGTTGACAGCTGTGAACCGAAATGACAGGTTAAGACATGAACTTGTGTTTCGCGCGCTTCCTTCTTTTGTTTGTAGATGGGTGGATGAGAATGCATTTTCCTGAAAATTAATATCCAAGTTTGAGAGTCTGATGTTGCAAGTGACAAGACGTTTAAGCTGTATTTAAGTCAAAAATACCCTAAAGCAGAGATGTATTTAGAAGAGAGGTGTTAGTGTGTTAGTCTGTGTGTGTGTGTGTCTGGTAAAGACAGGCCGGGAACAAATTGTTTTTGGCCCTGGGGTGCCGTCCCCTGTCTTCGAAAACAAAGTCGGGGAACAGAGTTACTGTACGGCGGCCTGAACAAAGACACGAGGGAGGAGTCAGACGAAGTTTTCAGTGCCTCTTAAGATCATTAAATGCACACAAATGGTTGCACAAAGGATTTTGTATTCGTGTTTACGCCTGTAGTCTGGCAGCCAGGGGAAATTTATAAATATTGGCATGCATGTGGTAGGAGCAGATTCCTCTTGTTGCCTCGTTGTAACCTTGTCCACTCATTCATCCTGTATTCTGTGTTCTTGTCTCTTCCCTGAAGGTATGGCAAAATTGTGTCGACCAAGGCCATCTTGGACAAAACTACCAACAAATGTAAAGGTAAACTCTAATAATCTTTTCAAAGACTGGGTTGTCATGTTTTTTTTATTTTTATTATTATTATATATACATATTTTTTTGAATGTCATTTTCAGTCATTCTTTGGCTGTGGCGAAGCATGCCATTTGTCAAAGGGTTAGGAAAACACTGTTTTCCTGTATGGCCCAGAATTAGATGGAACATCCATGTAAATGGTAAATGGCCTGTATTTATATAGCGCTTTACTAGTCCCTAAGGACCCCAAAGCGCTTTACATATCCATTCACACACTGGTGATGGCAAGCTACATTGTAGCCACAGCCACCCTGGGGCGCACTGACAGAGGCGAGGCTGCCGGACACTGGCGCCACCGGGCCCTTTGACCACCACCAGTAGGCAACGGGTGAAGTGTCTTGCCCAAGGACACAACGACCGAGACTGTCCAAGCCGGGGCTCGAACCAGCAACCTTCCGATTACAAGGCGAACTCCCAACTCTTGAGCCACGATCGCTCATAAGGCCTCAGTCACATAGCTCTAAAGACTCCAGATCAGTTGACATGTGCTTGCTGGAGTTTGCTGACTGCTGACAAGCAAAATCTGTTGCAAAGAGGATGCTCCACCTAAAACCTCACCGGATTGCTTTGGTCAGTAGCAGACTGCCACAGTCACCAATAGTTTGCACAGAAGGCATGTACTTGGCTGCAAACCCTTTGCTCTTGGAGATGTAGCGAAACTTGAAAAAGTGCAATGTAAACCACAAATGGAGAATGTTCACCTTACAAATAAAAAACACTGCTACCAACATGTTTCAAAAAGTGCATCTTTTAGTTTGAAGACAAATGTTCTCAATGGAAGGATGGCTATCGAAAAGCTTCCATTCTTAAGGAAGGGAAACATGGAGGAAAGGCTGAGGTATGCCACATTACACAGAACTGGACTGAAAATCAGTGCAAACCAGTTTCATGGAACGATAAATCCAAATTTGAAATGTTTGGTTCAAATTGTCATCATAATGTACAGACAAGGTCAGGAAAGAGGTACAACAGTGAGTTTTTGGAGCCCACTGTAAAACACGGTGGAGGCTCTGTCGTGGTTTGCAGCTGCTTTTAGGCCAGTAGTCTTGGGGACCTTGTCAATATTGATGGAATTGTGAATGCAGGAATTTATAGACATATTATGAACCACCATGCAATACCATCTGAAAAGCAACTGATTGGCAACGGCTTCAGTTTTAATGACAATGATCTCAAACACGCTGTAAAAGCAGTAGAAGCGCGCCTAGATGGAAAACACTCAGTGGAACACTATCAGTCATGGATTGGCCTCCCCAGAGCCCACACCTCAGCGTTATTAAACCACTGTGGGATGATCTTGACAGAGAATGAAGCAAAAGGCAGCCGACATCCAAAGAAGATGTCCTTCAAGAAGCCTGAAGAACTATTACAGAAGACTACTTAAGCTTGCGTATCAGATTCAGCTTGTAAGAATAAACGTGGTCAAACCAAATACTGACTTTCAAGCTTGTTAGAATTGCTTGCACATTTCAATGAATCACTGCACTCATTTCCCATTTTTCCAGCAAAATGTAAAGAAATGTGGCTCAACACTTTTGTAGAGTGCTGTATTCAGCAAGCGCATGGCATCTTTTCATGTACTTCCTGATGCTACAGCATTTTTACCATCAGTTTGTCTGTTTTACAGGCTATGGCTTTGTGGATTTTGACAGTCCAGCAGCAGCACAGAAAGCTGTTACAACTCTGAAATCCACTGGGGTCCAGGCTCAGATGGCTAAGGTAAGAATTAGCCAACTATCTTGTATCCATCTACCACTTGTTGCTTCCAAGTTTACCAGCCACCATTAGATTTAAACATGCCTTGTTTAGCCCATCACCCCGTCTTGTACCCGTATTGATCTTCAGAGAGCCATCAGCTCAAGAGTCATGGCCCCATTGCTGCGCACGTACACACACTATCATGTAAAAGGTTAAAAACTGTTACATGCAGTGGCCTAATTGGCAGCGACTGTGCTGTTGGAAAGGGTTCAAAGTAAACTCTTGTCTATAGGGAGGTGTGTGTGTACTGAGATGTCCCAGTGATGCACAGCCCAGACCTGCAGAAACAGTTTGCTGATCATATTTTTTATTGCTTGTTCCTCCGCTCTGTTCGGTCTCCTCTCAAATCCTCATTTTGCCTCTTTCTTCACTGTCCTCCGCACTACCTCCTGTCTCCTTCCCCCTCACGTACTTCATTTCTGTGCTGTGTATGTTACAAACCTGCTCCTGTTGTAGCACTTGTTCTGAACTCTGTTGTAGCACTTGTTCTGAACTCTTTGTCCAAGTGTCTGAAGTCAAAGCTACTCTTGTCGGCCCATTAAGCTGATCCCTCTGGCTCTGAGGCTCCCCATTGAAGGAACCCGGGGGGGAGGGTGCCACTACACCCACTGTCAATGGGACAGGCACAATGGACTGGCATTGTCCATCGCCTGGGCCTGGGCCTGGGGCAGACACCAGCACTTAGTACACTCCACGCCGGCGTCCCTACCTCCTCCCTCTATCTTGCACCCAAACAGACCTGCAGCAATGTAACACCAGGGTCTCCCTCAGAGCAGCGCTGGAGAACTGTAACGGATACACACTGCCAGCTGACCTGAAACAGTCCAGTGCAACTAAAACCTGAGTCTAAGTTCACTGAGCTGCTTCTGTAAGAGTGCCATACAATCCTGCGTATCTTTGTACTTGACAAGTGCAACTGGACACCATAACCTGACTCACCCAGACAGCATGTGCTCAGTGAGAGGTGTTGATAACCACTATATAAACCTAAATATACACCGCCGTCTCAGAGTCAGTGGGTATTTCAGGTCAGCAAAAAAAAAAAGAGCTATAGTCAATGGTATTATCAATATCAAGGGCAGGTTCACCTGCCAGCAGCTTCACCATGGCTGCTGCAGTGTTATTCACAAACACAATGAACCACACCTTGAACTAGATGTCCTTAGAGTGTGTGCTAAGTCCCTGAACGGGCCACCCCAGCCTCCAGGCTGCAAGCCCAGAGGAGCTGCGTGTGTAGGGGCAGCGAAACAATGGCAAAGTTAAAAATAGAGCCCCCTCCACCCCACCCCCTCTGTTTGTTTTTTTTCTTTTTTTTCTTTTTTACTTCTCAGCACCTCCCTGTTTGAACTCAGACGTCATCACCCACACGCTGCTCGACACACAAACACCCAAGCGAGCTAACGCGCAGACACACCTTAACAGACACGGCTCGGTGAAGGCCTGGCACAGACAATACACGGTGACACCTCAGCAAATCCCATTCATGCGCCTGAGCTGGGCGCGGCAACATTTTAATACAGCAGGAGGAAAATTGTTAGAATATCAAACCGTCTGCCGCGTGCGCCGGCCGAGCTAAAAGGAAAACAAAAAAAGGGAAAAGGGGTGGAGTTTTTTGTTTGTGTTTGTTTTGTCATATGGCTTTGAATTCCATTACTGTCAGCTGGCCTATGACCCCTGCGGTTTGCTCCTCTGTTGCATAATAGCTGTGTTAGCAGGAATGACGGCAATCACAGAAAATAGGTTATCTCTCCACCAGATGGCTGAGAGTAGGAGATACTCATGTAGGCTATAAAACATTTAAGATAGCTGTTGACATACTTTAATTCCATAAATGTTCTCAGGAATTCTTCATTGTCAGATCGCCACCTCTGTCAAATGTGCCCGAACAGCTTGGCAAGTATCTGAGGTACTGGCTGTCCTCTCCTGGTTGTTGCTTGGATCAGTCCAGTCTAAACAGTTGTAACTCGATTTGCCTCGCTCGCTGACAGCTTCTGACAGCTTCTTCTCCATCCAAATTTAAAAAGCTTTTATTATTTGTGGTGTGCAGAGCTGTTTGATTGCATGCAGCAGGCACTGAAAAGAGGAGATAAAATGGTATAGAGAGCAGCCTGCTAGTCAGAAGACACCCATCTGTCTTCTTTTCTAGTTTCACTCTTTTTCTGTCATTCTCCTTTCTAATTGCCCAAATGACTGCAGAGGCCTGGGTAGGTCCTACCCTGCAAGTTTCCTCCTTCCGTAACAAAATATCAGCCTTTTGAGTTATTAATTTCCTCCCTCTTTCTTCGCTCTCCGTTTTTTTTTCCTTCCCCTGTTTTTTAGCCCAGCCTCTTTTTTGTCATGGTTGCCAGGCTCCTGTTGCTCTGTGAACTCTTTAACTTCATGCCTGGCTTCCTGTCTGCTTCTGCATAGTCACACAAGGTTTCGCTTTCAAGTAGTGCCACCAAATGATCTCTCCTCTTAATTTACTCACAGATCAAGATCTCTTCATTAGTCAAAATTATAAAAAAAAGCATGACTCCCTACCCCTGTGCACAAATTAATGCTTTGCAAATGTCAGAGTGTTTTTTTTTTTTTTAGCGTGCACGCAAGGTTTTTCAAATCCTCCTCAGCTGTGGCAGTGACACATAGAAAGTGGTGAGAGATTATTCAGGGTTTCCCTTTATTGGTCTGTCACTAATTGCTTAAAAACATTTCAGCAGGTTCTGTTACTAAATTATGCTTGACACGCAAATGTAATTTAATCAATTTGCCAAGTGCAGTGGCAGGTGTTGATGGAAAGACGGGTCGCACTGCTGCCTACACAAAAATTTGTGCCGTGTGGAAAAAAAGATTTTTGAAAGTGACAACATTTTTCTATTTGCAAGAGTGCCAGGAAAGTGTGCTAAATAATAAAAAGTCGGCGCCGCGTTTCCTCATTCAAAGCTTAAGAAGATGCACGAGCGAATGGATTCTCATTTCTCACTTTCTGTATAGCAACAGGAGCAGGACCCCACCAACCTCTACATCTCCAACCTGCCCGTGTCTATGGATGAGCAAGAGCTGGAGAGCATGCTCAAGTCTTTTGGCCAGGTCATTTCCACCCGCATCCTCCGAGATGCTAATGGGACCAGCCGCGGCGTCGGATTTGCCAGGTCAGACTGTGGCCTCGCATGGTGGCCCATCGTGTCTTGAGCACATTTTCTGTTATCAATTACGTGTAATTTGTGCAGCTCTGGCACGGACCAACCGAATGCAAACAGCGCTTCTCGAGGGGGATTAATTTGAACTCTGTCTGGTTTTTCAGGATGGAATCCACGGAGAAGTGCGAGGCCATAATTCAGCATTTCAATGGCAAATTCATCAAGACTCCACCAGGAATACCCGGTGCGTGGAATGTTTTTTTTGTATTATAGAAACCTGATACTGTTGTAAGTGCTGGAGCTGAGTGTGTTTTCTTCCCCACTGTGATCAGTGAATTCACTCTCTTGTTTGACCTGTTGCTTTCTCAGTGCCCACAGAGCCCTTATTATGTAAGTTTGCAGACGGAGGTCAGAAGAAGAGGCAGAACCAGAGCAAATATCTCCAAAATGGAAGACCTTGGGCTAGAGACGGAGATACGGTAACGTCTTTTTTTCTCTCCTCTAAAATTCTGGAGAAAAATCACATCAAGTACATACTGGAAAGTTTTGAATTTAATCGTCCACACTCTGTGCTAGCAGACTGTTTTAGTACGTACTGCACCGGTGTTTGCATGACCTCACTGGTTCTGAATCCCTTTTTTGTTTTCCCAGGGAGGAATGACGCTTGCATATGACCCCACAGCCTTACAAAATGGGTGAGTGGTATGCACGGACTGACTAAAAACAGTCCCAGCCCTCCAGGAAAATAAACATAGCAATCAGAGACTGGTAAAAGGCTGCCCTCTGCTGGACATTGCAGGAACTCAGATATGTTGCTAAATTAGCTGGAAATTGTGGACATGTTGCAGTTTCCTTCATGTTTTCTTCTTGTTGCTCTGTGTGTTTGGCAGCTTCTACTCCTCACCTTACAGTCTGGCTCCAAATCGAATGATTGCTCAGACTTCCCTCTCTCCCTACATGCATTCTCCTGTCTCATCATACCAGGTGGGACTTTTCACTCTGTTTATATTCAAATTATTAGTAGTTTTGTTTGTTCATTTTTAGCCCTGCTGGCTTTTAAAATCTGCATGAAAGTGAATCATGTATTTTTCTGTTGCTTTTCTGTACCGAATCCCTCATTAAGGTCACGTTATGTAAGTTAACATGCAGAACGGCTGCTTTCATCCAGGTCCTGTCTCTGTTCTTGTGACCTTTTTGTGCCAGCTTACACATTAAGGGCTCTGAGGGGACTGTGACAGCACCAGATGAAAAATATCGAAAAGTAATTTTGCGATGTACTCCCGCCTCTACAGGTACACAACCCGTCCTGGATGCACCATCAGTCATACCTCATGCAGCCAGCTGTGAGTATCCCTTCTGGTCAATGCTTTCTGGTCTTTTCACTTGGCCCACAGGGCAAAAAAGCATAAACAAAAGTGTAAATGCAAAAAGCGCTTGAAGCAGGATATACAAATCAAAGTGTCACAGCAATGAAAAAGAACATAGTTCTTTCTGTTACATGGAAATCAACAGGAACAAGCGGCGTCAGTGGTCACACAGGAAGCTGTAATATTTATTGGATCCCTGATAGTTGTGATCTTTAAGCGTACGCTTTAAGCATTGACCTGCTTTAGGGAACGCCATTCATGAATTAGTCTCAATACTTTTTTGTGGTTGTAATTACGCTGCATGTTAAACTGGACAGTGTATCTGTAGCTGCCCAGCATCAGCTGCATTGCTGCCACTATCTGAACTTGACCAGTGGCAGCTATGATTTGCATTAACCAAATGAAAGGAAAAATATCTTCTGCTGGGTCAGCTTTTATGGAAAAGGGATCAGGGTGCGTGCCGAAGCCATGTGGAAAGCTTAAAGAGGAATGCACACCTGAAAGGGCTTTTGTTTCATCAGTAGATATCTACAGTTTAAAAAAAAAAAAATTAAACGTGTACCAGTGTTATTAATAAAATATGATGAATATTAACCTCTGCATTTTAACAAAATGTAGTTTCTAGGTCATACATGTCACACTCTGGGACTGCATTTAGGTGTGTGTCTCTGTGCGTTCGCAGGGTACAGTTATTACCCCAACAATGGAACATGCCATGTCCATCCAGCCCACATCCATGATGGGACCTCTCACCCAGCAACTAAGCCACCTGTCTCTGGGCAGCACAGGCACAGTCAGTACCAACAGACACACAAACAACTGTCCCCGTCACTAACGACATTTACAAGTGTAATTATTTGCGTGAAATACTAAACACACAGTCACAGATTTCGTTTTCCTCCCTGTCTTCCCTACAGTATATTCCGGCCAATACAACTATGCAGGGGACCTACATCCCCCAGTACACCCCAGTGCCTCCTTCCAGCGTCCCAGTAGAGGTATGAAACGTTTCCTAATCTCTTAATGATGTTTTGTTTTTCCATGAGGTGGCTGGCTCAAAATGAAAACTCCTTTGTGGGACATGCTGTGTAACTAATAATTGAACGTGGCTAAAGAAATGGAGGTGGTTGTTCAAAGGTGCCAGCTGGCTGATTGAATTCACTCGATATCCCGAGAGCCCTTTTAAAGTGATCACGAATTTACCAGCTAAACCTTTAACTGCGGCGTACGTCCCTGTGTCTGTGAAGTCATTTTGTTGATGTTTTTGAGATCAAAATGACTTAGCAGTGCTGTCCTGCCTTCTTTTTAATCTGTGAAACAAATGTGCCTAGTTTAGGTTGCAACTGCTCATTTTCCTTATTCATTCATAAATCTGCCAGATATTTGATTCATTAAAAATTGTCAAATAATGAAATATTGAAAAGCATCTGTCATTTTGTTGCTTTATTAGGTAAACAGCACCACTTAAAAGTGCTTTTAAGAAGCAGCAAAAATTCTTCCATCGTGTTGATTATCTGTTGAATGACTGATTATTCCAGGTCAGCACATGTGTTTGCTGCTTGAACCAAAGAGAATATTTCCAGCTGGGAGAACCTGTATAAATGGAGTGTCTGCTTCTGTTTCCGCCCAACATTGGGCTGAGTCCATGTGTAACCTTTGATAACCTGAATGCAGCCATATGCGAACCTCAGATTTAAGACTATTACCTAACCGGGCAAGCTTTGGCAATTTCTTTATGTCTTTCTTTATTTACTTTGGCCATCACTGCGCAGTCTGTGTGTTCCAGGGCTGTATTGTGGCAGATCCAGGCAGAGTGCTCTGCAGTAGGGCCTCTGAACCTGTGGGGTGTTTTTAAGCCATTTGCTGAATGGAGCTCAGTGATAGCAGTGGTGGCCTCTTAGGTGACCTTGTGAATGAGAAAATGGATGATTTATGAATGAAGTACAACAGAAAGCACATGAAAGGGGGAGGCTGTGAGTTTAAATCCAATATTTGCTCTTTGTGCATGCACACAAAAGGATAAGATGCATTTAATGTGATTAGGAAGGGAGTTTTAAAATATCGTCTGTCTCCTTTATGCTAACATCTGTGTGGTTGTCATGAATTATTAAGTTGCTAAACCTGACTTTTCTTTTCTTTTCTTTTACCCCAGGAAAACGGTGGCCAGCAGCAGCAGGTTGCAATGGAGACTCCTACAGAACACACAAACTACTCATACCAACACACCAAGTAAAGCTAAGGTAGATAAGGTCGCTCCTTCCTGCAAATTACAAATATGTAGACGTTTGTAAATTGCTTAATTAGCAAAATTGTAATGAGCATGAATGAAAACACAAGTCGTGGTTAAAAGGGACACAGATGATTACAATGGTGAAAATATTACTAAGTTAAAATAACTTTTTTTAAGGAGGTTTCCACAAATCAAAAACTCTAGAAAAAAAAAAATAATAATGGATTACATTTATATAGCGCTTTTTGAGACTCTCAAAGCGCTGTACAATTCCACTATTCATTCATTCTCACATTCACACACTGGTGGAGGCAAGTTACAGTTGTAGCCACAGCTGCCCTGGGGCGAGGCTGCCATATCGCGCCATCGGCCCCTCTGGCCATCACCAGTAGGCGGTAGGTGAAGTATCTTGCCCAAGGACACAACAACCAAGACAGACAGAGCTAGGGATCGAACCGGCAACTTTCCGGTTGCAAGATGAACTTCCCAGCCCTCTGAACCACGGTCACAATAAAGACATGATGGTCATTGTGGCTTCTGGATGGGGGTTCTTTGTATAGGGACTTTAAAACTGAGAAATTCTCTGTACACTCCACCTACATATGTGGTTAAACGTTTCTCAGTTATTGAGCCTTTGAAGAGCAAAATATCAAATATTTTAAATGTAATTGTTTGTGGCAGTGCTACAAGCTGATCGCCTCTATGCCACATCGCGTTGATGCAGTAAGCCGAGGGGAAGGAGCCTGAACTAAGCACAGAGTGTATAAATGAACATGCTTTTCCGAAGCTGGACATTATTTTATTGTAAATCCTTTTTTTTAGTTGCTCTTATGAAAGATTATAATCTGATATTAGATACTGGATTTCTAACTTTCATGAGCTATAAGCCTGTATGCTGTTTGTCATATCCTTGCCTGGACATGTGCACCACATCCAGGGCTGCTGCTGCCATGTTTAGATCCCACCCTGGAAGTCCCCATTCTTCCCACTTTAAACTATCCGCAGTGGTTACCAGATCTTCTCTGCTGCGTCAAAATTGCAACCCTCATGGTAAAGAGGTTGAAAACACAGGGCATGCGGTGAGTGAAGATTGTGCTGCTGTGACTGAAAAACATTTTCACGCCAGGCCGCAGCACGGCTGAGGCTGTTTGCACCGAGTGGTCGTCTCACTCTGGGGTACTTCATTGGTGCATCAACCGGTGATTGTGAAAAGAAAGAAAAGGAGAAAACAGATGACAGATCATTTTCCCGAGGTGATAAATCACTCCAAGGTTTGAAAACTGCCTCAGCGGGAGCCAACTGTCATCACCATCGGCTTTATCTGACACCAAGTTTATGTTTGCTCTGAGGTAAGTTTGAGGTCAGCGGTTGCTAAGCACAGACTTCCAGTCAGGCATCTAAAGGTCGCTGCAGTGCTGGAAGTGGTCCAGGTATGCACAGTGACGCAACCTTAAACTCAATAGCAGCCAAACCGGAATCAGGTGTGGTTCGTGCTTTCAGTGATCGTAGAGGTAGACGGTCACGCCGTGTGTATCCATCGGCTGAAAAAACTCAAAATAAGGAGTAGGAAGGAATGCTTTGATATTGCATAATATGATTTTAAGAGGAAGACTTTAGCTAATTATGTCTGCTATGGTCTAAAAGCATCTCATGCAATGTTTTCTAAACTATGATCAGTGCAAGTGCGCGAGTGGGTTTAGAGTGTCAACGCTGAGTCGTGTGTTTTGCAGCTCCCGGCAGGGTGGGGCCGAGGCTGCGAAATGAATCCAACCGAACAGGATTCAGCTGGAAGAGATCTGTGCTCCATACCATCACCAAGCAACCCGACTTGAACATGGATGACAAAAGGAACACGTGTATGCCTGTGAGTGTGTTTGTTTGTGTGCGTGCGTGTGTGTGTTTGTCTGTTGTTTGTCTATTTCTGTGTTTTTTGTTTTGTTCTTTTTTGGGGGGGTTTAAAGAAAAAGGACAACACTTAACATCATCAGACTTTTCAGCTCACATCCTCAAGAGCTGATCAACCAAAGGTGGGAATCTTCTTCAAGAGAAGCTTTGATCTATTTTGATAACTGAAAAAAAAAGGAACGTAACAAAAAAAGAAGTTTAAAAAACTCTTTGGAAAAAAAAAATTAAAAGAGGAGGAAAAGACAGAGCATTATTTTTGTGTACGTAATATAGCAAATTCTTATTTTTAACTGAGCATTCTGGATGTTTCAGAGTGATTCAAGGAAGAGTTGAAACACAATGTGTCTTTTTGATTTTTTGTTTTTTTTGTAAAATATGCAAAGGTTTATTTTTATTTCCTGATGTCTGTTGTTGTTTGACATTCTATTTGCAGCAGCGGGACGGGTTGGGGTTCGGGGGTGTGCGGGGAGGGGGGCAATTTGTACAGATTTTAAAAAAAGCAAAAAAAAACTTACAAACACTTCCGCTGGTCTGGTGTGTCGAGTCGCTCTGACTGTGGGAGGCAAACCGTTTAAAGCTACTTCTTCCTGTAACTGCTGCAGAGATTTCTCATCACGCACAGATGATGACAAACATCGACTGTTTATAGTTTAGTCAAATTAATTCTTCTCTTTCTTGTTTTTTCGTTTAACTTTAAATCATTCTTTCATAAGAGAACAAAAGACAATCAATTATTTATATTTATATTTGAATTATAGTTCTATTTTTTAGAGGTTCTAGATCAGCGAGGCATACGTTTATACAAAAGGAGTTATTTAATACTGTAGTCAATGAAAACATGAAAGAGCTCCCCCCCCCCCCCCCCCTAGCTGAGCTCCAGTGTTTGGCTCATGAATTTAATTTTTAATTATTTTTTTATGATTGGATCACTCTCAGTCCACATATGCTTACAAAAAAAACCTGCACCTACTGTTAATAGTTAATACTTTACTACATCCTCGTCCATGAGAAGTGGTTTTAAGCGGTTTTGTGGTGGCGAACCATCAGGTATCATTGAATTCATCCTCTGCCTGAAGTGGTGACGTGTGCACGCATTACAAAGGAGAGATTATGTGAAAACAAAGAGCAAATGCAGTGACTAAATTAAAACGTAGCTTAGTGAAAGCAATGAGGGATATCGAATGGAAGACTAACAAAATCCCTGAGAATAATTAGTTTGAGAGGAAAGGGAGCTGTAAGTCTTTTTTTTTTTTTCAATGCTGCTGTCACCTGAGTTTGATTCTTTGTCAGTGATTTTTGTTTTTTAGTTTGTAGAAAGTTAAGTGTCTTCTGTTTTTTCTCTCTCTCTCTTTTGTCTTTCACTTGAAAGTCTTTGAGCTAATTTGCCTTATTTTTTGATGAGTTAATCTTACAAGTAGATTAGATTTTAGCTGTAGATTTTTAGCTTTTTATGGAGTCGTTTTTTTTTTTGTTTGTTTTGTTGACGCTGTTTTCTTGTGCGCGTTGTTTTCTTTTCACATGAATTTCCGTTCCAAACCTCGCGTCGTCTGTCCCGACATTGCGTCTGGCCTCTTTAGCAGAAAGCCTTCCAGAATGGAGAGCTGAACCAAACAGTGACTTTACTTAGTGCTGATCCAAATCACTTCTACTGATGCTGCTGCATCGGGCTCGGACAAGCTCATAAACACACAAACCTGGGCTGTTTTCAGCTTTTTAAGTCAGCACACCGAGTTTAGCTGTCACCACGTACATCCAAACATGTTGAACTTTAATTTATACGGATATCAAAAACTGTACATATGTAGATAATAGAAATAATGGTTTTACAAAGGACTGCTCACTAGACCATGGAAGTGCCATTAAAGATGATTCTTACAGCCTTTAGTGAGACAGCAAGTCTGAATGACTTTGTGAGTGATAAAAAAAAAAAAAGTCTGCAAAAACTCTTTCTAGCTAAGCCTTAATGTTTTTCCTCTGGACGAACTGCCCGGTTTCACATAGATTTGACATGAGTTTGTATATACTGTGGAAATGGCAGCAGGGTTGTTTGAACTTTGAGTCAGTTGAGTTAGACGTAGAATTACCAGGAGCTTTTCTTCCTGTTCTTTAACCATTCATGTTTGAATCCAGTGAAAAGACGAACGAGATAACATCTTCCCCAAGGCTTACATTGTTTTTTTGCAATTTTTCTGTTGTACATTTCTGCAACCAAAGATGTTTTAGCCACCCACCGCTGTCTCCAATCTCCCAAGATGCTCGTATGTTTTGTGTAATGGTATAAAATGCCTTTTATTGACTCTAAGAAAGAGAAAGATGGCAATAAGAGTGTTAACGTACACTCAATATTCCAAATTATGACTACAGTTTGAGGACTTTTTCAGCTCTGTCTTAGAAAGTGTTTTTGAAAAGAACAAATCCAGCTGCTTAACCCTAGTTCCCCTTAGCTTACATAATGAGTGCAGGACAGCATGCGAGCAGACTTTACCGAACTCAGCTACAGCCCGACCGATATATCGCCTGCCGATATTATTAGCTGATTGCCGATATGTCGGTGTCAACATTTATAAAGCCCGCTAAGCGAAGATGAGACGAGAGAAACACCTTTCCACCATGTTATGTGTTGACACTGCATGGTTTGTCCACCAGAGGGCACATGTTTGGAATTCTGCAAAACAACAACCGGCTGATCCGAGCAGCATAAACAAGGAATCCACAACTTGTGATAAGAAAACATTATTTTTAGATAGCATTGTCATATTGTCTTAGTAAGGACACAAAAACAAATCTACAAACCAAAAAATTTATGTTGAAAGAAAAAAAAAAGTATCAGCCGATATTTGAATCACCAGCTATCGGTACTAGTATCGGTCTTAGAATCCTATATCGGTCGGGCTCTTGACTCAATGGACATTAAGAAAAACGGAGCACAGATTTTAAGATTGGTGCAAACACGAACATTTTCAGACACAAGCAGATTTTGTAAATAGCCTGTCTTTCCTTGCACTTCTTTCACCGTTTTTTTCCCTTTCTTCTTGTGTGTTTTTGTGATTTTTAATTTTTTAGTATGAATTATAACCTGTCCAGAAAACACAGTGACTTGCAAGTTTTCAGATTCAGCGCACCATGAAGGAAAATGTTCTGAGAAATGCTATTCCATATATTAGCCATCACTTTTAATACAAAACAAGATTTTGAAACTATGAAATGACCACTTGTTACAATGCAGTGTTTATTTATTTTTTTAAAGCAGAGATGACAGGACAGGAAACTAAAGGAACTGGCCTTTTAAATGACATAACAAATATAGGAATACTAAGACTACATGGAAAGTACACAATATTTGAAATAAAATAAAAAATACTCATTGCACTTGCATTTTTAGTCCGCATAGATTTGTAAATGCTATTTGTATCCATCCTAATGTCAATTTGACGGCTTATTTCATAGTTTCAAAACATTTTGCTGCTAAAACAGGATTTCCAAACAGCTGGTTTAATAACGTCACATCTGGATTTTCAAAATGTTTCATTTTATTTCAGTTTGGTTAATACCAGTGTCTCAATTTTTTTCTTTTTAAACAATTGAGTCATACTGTTGTGTAATACTACAGTTTACTATATGTTGCAGTAGTGAGCAGTTTAACTAGATAAATATTCGATCATTTTAGCAAGAAATGCTGTCTTAAAGTAACATTTTTGATCCACAAACACAGCTCTACACTGTATAAACTGTATTGTGTGGATCACAAGCTTTTTGAAAATTCAGATTGGCGCATTTCACTATCTGTTTGTGAATAGTTTTCTTATTTATACAAGAACTCATTTTGTACAGTTTTGTTAGAGGAAAGAGGTTTTGATATTTGGTTATTTTGCAAATGCCATTTGGCTACTTTTGTCTTCCTGTGCCAGAGTTGCTAAATTGTCTGTAACTTGTGTTTTTGTTTTTGTTTTGTTGTTGTTGTTTGTTTTTTAATTGATTGAGATTTTACTTCTTTCTTGGTTTTCTCTTTGAATTTGAATATGTCAGTTTTCTTTTTTAATAAAAGTCTTGTTTCAATGTTTTTGTGAGTGATTTATTATTGGCTGTTAAATTTTTGCTAAATTAGGGGTGTATATTACATATTATGGATGCCTGATCTTGCAGTATCATTAGTCTTATTTTCTTAATCTTTAAATTGAATTAGTTTTTGCAGGAAGCTAAAGTCCACCTGCTTAAATAAGTACTTAACCAATAACATGGCAACAACTGCATTTAGGAACGTAGATATGGTCGAGTCAACCTCCTGATGTTCTGACACATGGAAAAGAAAGTTGATTTAATAGGATAGCAATTTCCATTTCCATCTCTTTATGAGCAGTGTGCCAATCTTGATGGCTGATCCAAGAGGGTTAGTGCAGTATGCCACGAAGCACAGATCATCTCAAGTGACAATAAGTTCACTGTACTCAGATGGCCTGAATAGTCACCACATCACTCAGTCCAAGTGACTTCTTCAGGCTCAGCTGACTGCAGGTTTCCCTAACCTTTACACAATGACTGAAACTAGCACCACTGATGAAAAATGGGCTGTAAGGTCAGTTTCTTGATCATTAATATGCATGTTATGACCATTGATGAACAACCACTGATCAGAGACCATTGATGCCAGTATGAACTAAAATCTCTGAGGAATGTTTCCTCCACCTTGTTGAATCTGTGCCATTAGCTTGGTGTATCTAATACTGGTCAGTGTACACACAACTCCAAACCCCACAAGGATGGTGTAGTTTGCTCTGTAGAAACATACAATACAAAGAAATGTTATTATTGTTTAATTCTGTAACATTAAAATTAACAATTTTTATAGGTTTCATGTGTTACTTTAATTACATTGCCACTTACAAGTCCATAGCCCGTGTTCTTTGCAAAGAAATGTATAGTGTTTTTTATTCATTACACACAGTTTCCAGCGTTCCCATTAATAACTTATTAATCTAAAACTATTTTCTATAACAGCTGAAAGGCCACGGTAAATTCTCAACACCAGTGTAAACAGATCTCTAACAGCCAAATGTACTCTCTTACTCTGACTTACTCTAAATACATTTTCCCTTTGTGGTTGCTGTTTGCTTTCTTTACATCTTAAAGTCTGTTGACTCATACAGTAGCTGCTACTTCCGAAATACCAATGCCCAGTCTGAGCTTACACACATACAGTACATACTGATAATACACTAAACCTATCATATATAATGAAATGAATAAAAATAAAAACAAGTATAAAAGTGCATCTACATATTGGATGTGAAACAAATGATTAAAATAAACTCAACTCCATTATTGGCTCAAGGCTGAATAAACAGAGTGATGCATCCAACTCTGTTTGTACCTGCTTTTATCCACTTAAGAGTCCAAAGTGCCATTCAAAACACACACACACACACACACTTATAGATTCCCAAGGTAACACCTAGCAGTAGTTGGACGGTGTAGTCTATGGGATTTCAAGCTGGGATTTCAGGGTCTCCATTGATAAGAAGATTATGAACTGAAGAGACTTGAAGGTTAAACAAAGGTTAGATCGATAACACATCACTTAAAGAAAGAGCAAACAGGTTGCTGCAATGAGCCTTGAAGTCATGTCGTTCTGTCGAGAGGTAAATCCAAGTCAAGTGTTCAAATAGTTCAGCTGATAAACATCTTTAGTATGCAGGAGAAACGTGTAAAACAGGCTTCACTCCCGGCCTTCTCCCGTGAGCTGTAACAGGAAGCTGAAGAGGTAGATAATGTCCAGGTAGAGGCTGAGCGTGGCAAAGATGTATTCCTCTGGACTGATGGCGTAGCGCTTGTTTCCTAAGAGCATCTGAGTGTCGAACGCCAAGAACTGTGGCAGAGAAAGGCACAAATGGAGAAAACAAGCAGAGCAGGTGAGCACGAGGTAATCATTTGAAAACTTGGAAACTAAGACGGGGGTAGGCTGTGTGATTCTCACCAGAGTAAAGAGGATGGCTCCTATTACAGCATAGGTGGCATGTAACCAAGGTACCTGTGAGATAAAATGCATTACAAAACACTTTTAAGAAGGCTAGCAGGGATGCTAATTTAAGCAAGACACAGTGCAAGATTATCTGAGGCTAATCCTTCTTCCATTAATGCAGTACCTGATGCATTAACCCAAGTACTTTTGTTTAACTCATTAATTGCAGCTAATTTGGTTTCCTTCTAGAAGGATGTACATGTTTAAACTCACGTATCCAAAAGGGACGACAACAGAGATGGCGATGGCACAGATGAGCATGACCATACACAAAGAAAACAGGACTCCCTGACAAGAGGTGACATCAATCTGCAAGAGAAGAAGAAGATGTGTCTTTTATTGTCTTTTTTTGTTCAAAGCAGTTTGAAGTTCTAGTTTGAAGCAGTTCGCACCTTGCTCTGGAAGCTGAAGATGGTGACAGAAAGACACACCAGAGCTGTGATTCCCAGGCACAGCACCACCGACTTGGTGTTGTAAAAGCTGGAGGAAGCACAAACATATACATTTTCTCTTTCAGCTTGAAAAGACACGGATGGTTCTTACATCCGCAGGTGTATTTACCTTGACAGAAATCCCATCATGAAGGCCATGCTCAGAGTCTGTAGGGAAAAGTTGATAAAAATAGCTTAGAGGCTGAGGCTGAGTGACGGCTTTATTATTGTATAAGGTTTGTATTTTACACTGCATGTTACTCACAAAGAGAACTAAAAGAATTATATTCCAAGGAAACTGCCTCCTGTTATGACAGAAAAGACAGTAGATTTGTTATTTATGCACACAGAGACACATTTTATAGAGTTTTTGCAAAAGAGCATCTTTTCAGTTGTTTCTTGAATTTTTAATAATAGTAATAACTTTATTTATAAAGCGTTTTCAAACAAAGTGCTGTACAACTAAAGGGATAAATAAAATAAAAGTGATACATAGCAATACAGGTAAGAGACACAATACAAGTTAAAAACAATAAAAAATTAAAAACTAAAAGCCATAGAATTAAGACATGTAGGATAAGGTGAACAAATGTGTCTTCAACAACCACAGAGCATGCCTGCCGAATATCTTGAGGGAGGTTGTTCCACAGAAACGGGGCACGAAAAGAAAAAGCACGCTCTCCAATAGTCTTTTTTCTGGCTCTAGGAACCTTCAGAAGGCCAGAGTCCTGAGATCGGAGAGCACGAGATAGAACATAAAGGTGTAAAAGGTCGGAGAGGTATGAAGGTGCCAATCCGTTTAAAGCCTTGTAGGTGAGCAGCAGGACCTTAAAATCTGCTCGAACCTGACAAGGTAGCCAATGCAGAGATCTCAGAACAGGGCTAATGTGCTCAAATTTCCCAGTTCTTGTTAAAATGCGAGCAGCTGCATTTTGCACCATCTGTAGACCTCTAAAACTTTTCTTTGGTAGGCCAGAAAGAGCATTGCAATAATCAATAGGGGAAGACACAAATGCAGGGACAAGAACTTCTGCAGTGTCACTTGACAAAACTTGTCTGATTCTGGCGATGTTCCTCAAATAATAAAAGGCGATCTTTGTTATCTCTTTTACATGAGATTCAAAGGAAAGCACCATATCGAACCACACACCCAAGTTTTTACCTTGTTCCTGCAATTTATGGCACTTTCATCAATTTTCAAGATGAAATTTTGGGACAAGTGCTGAAATTTGTGTGGCCCAATGACCGTCAACTCTGTCTTATCAATATTTAGGAGCAAGAAATTATCCGATAACCAGCCCTTAATTGCACATAAACAACATTCTAGTTTAGAGACTTCAGCACAATTTCCAATGGTTAAAGGAACATAGAGCTGCAGGTCATCAGCGTAACAGTGACATTTTGTGCTGTTTATTTCTACAAAGACGGTTTACCTCAGGTCTCCACAGCAGGACAGTGCAATGTAGGTGGCCAAAAACATGAGACTAAAAGAGAAAAAGGATCAGAGACAATTTCAAAATGTACATGAAATTTATGTGAGTGTGAGATGAGTTTTCATCTGTGTTGTTTTCGTTTTTGTTTTGTTTTTTTACTTACTAGGATGCCGAGTACAAGCCAGGATGAGTCTGAATAAAAAACCTCACTGGTTCACTGAAATCAAAACAGCAACCAAAAAGAAAGTAAACTGGTGCTTCATAGAATAAAGTAGAAAAAGCTTTATTAGAAAATGACAGTAAAGTTGAGCAAATAAATACAGACGTACTTACCAAAATGTGAAGAGACCAACAACGCCCACGGTCACAAACAGCTGAACCATGAGAATGGCGTAGACCTGCAGGTGGACAAACGCTGTGTCAGAGCGATGTGGCATTTCCTTTTATTAATTTATGTTTTCATGGGGTTTTGTTTGGGGTTTATTTTGCTTCCAGTACCTTCCTGATGAAAGTCCGCCGGATGGTCTTATCATCCCAGGCGAACTGGGCCTCCATCTCAGCATAGCCTGAAAAAGGGGTGGAGGCGTTTCAAAGCTGAACTTCATGACATCACATTGTAGCATTGCTCTGATTACCTACATCATTTTTAATAACTAAGTGCAATGTCATGAAAATATTATTATTTGCATTTAAAATGAAGCTAAACAAAAACTAACATTATTTTTCATTCACATTGTTTCACTTGTTACCACGCAGCTTTGACTACTACAGGTCTAAACTAGAGGACAGCCAGTGTTCGCATATCTGTAACCAGCAGGATACTTTACTCACCTGCTGTTGCCTCTTGATAGCTGGGAGGCTCATTGTCATTGCTCACCTGCTGGTACGCAATCATAATTAGTATATGAATGAACAATAACTGCGTTTACAGCCACAGTACAGTGTTAGACACATGTGCCAGCTATTCTAAAGCTATTGCTTTATATGCACATTTAAATAAAAAACAAAATAGTACAGGAGATACTTTTCATTGCAGATCTGACTATAAAAGCCCCCACGTTTGATTAACTCAAAGGATTATATACATAAACTGTATGTATGTATGTTCATAGACATACTGTTAAACTGTTTCTCTGATCTTGTTGGATTTTGATCGAGTTTGTAAGCTTTTTTAGAGCATACCTCTAAAAAAATATGAATAATTCTAACAATCTTTCACAATAACACGTCTCATATGTAAACAAATCTGTCACTTTAATGAAGGCATTTTGTTACAGCTTTATTTTAAATCAGGAAAGATGAAAACATACCTTTCCCTTTTTCATGTTTTTCCCTTTTTTCGCCTTTATGGTTCTGATGAAGGAACACTCTTCTGAAATCCTTGGTGAAATGGGTTTGTTTGTTTATTTAATGATGTGAAGCTGTTAAATCCCAAATATGTACAGTTCCTAGGCTTCTTCTTTCGTTCGATGTCGCTTCTGTGGCTCCAAAAGCTGTTGTGAGTGGGGGAAAAAAAAGGTTGTTTGCGCAGTAGTTGTTGCTCTGATTTTGTCTGCAGTGTGCGGATTACACTGGAGCTTTATAGGCTGCCATGTAGTTAATCTGCCTCTAACCCTGATCCCACACCACCCCTGTCCCAGCCCTAAAGAGGTCGTTCTAGCAACGTCCAGGTAGGCCCATAACCCTCAGATCCCACCAGAGTGTGCCACTGCTGTTGCTTAACAGGGGGGGTGGACACAATTGTTCTGAACAGTATTCAGGGTCAATTACTCATAATTGTGCAAAGCAAGCAGAGGGATTTACATGTCTGAGCTACAGATGATATTACATTATTATTTTAATCCATTTTGAGGTATAAAAAATACAAAGAGAACAGTGCAGCAATGTTGATATGACAGAAAAATGTATTTTTAAAAAACACATATTTACAGATTTTTTGGAAAATTGAGATATATTATACCCATCAAAAACTACCAATCAATTAATGTGGGTCCATCAGTCTGGTGACATCTTTGTCTGCGTGGGTGTAAAAGTACAGTAGGGTACAGTTGGAAGTAGCTTTTCTTTCTTTGCTTATTTTTAGCAAACAGGTTGGGTAAACAAATGACATCATGTTTTTATGTAAGACACTGCTTTAGTAACAGACACACGGCACTAATTAGCATGGAGTTAAGAACATTATGGAGAATACACTGAGATTTACCGGCAAGTGATCACCTCTAATCTGCTTTTACTCAGATGTATTGTACTGTTCCCCTCTTTAATAAGCACAGTTGTGTGGGTAATCATTTATACTTTATTAAAATGTTTATGTTGATATTCAATATTTTCTCAAATGCACAACTGGAAGTTTGTTTCCAGCCACAAACTAAATATCGTCAGTCAGTAGGATGAGATTACTTTGTCTCCCATAAGGAGGAAATCATGCAGGATCTAGAAAATGCTGCAACAACAAGTCCCTGAATGTGTACACTTTAAATAAATACAGATCTTTATAAAAATAAATAGATAAATATTAAAATTTAAAAAACTGTTACCTCAAGGCCTCTCTACAATACTTTGAACTGCTCTTGGCAAGATTTTATAACGTGCTTCCAAGAACTGGTTTTTGGTGTCTGCTTTGTGTAGATGTCATTCTGCCTGTAAACACAACAGCTCAGAAAGTTTTGAATGAATTCTGAGAACACTTTGTCGGGTGTAGAGGGGGTCATTTTGACAACCCATTAAAATCTGTCTTACACCAACGTTGCCAAGGTCAACTTAATGATACCTCTGTCATGGTCTGCGGTGGGTGGCTGGAATTTTCATAAGGCTCCTGAACTGACCTGGGATCCGCCCCTGGGCAGGGCCAACTCCAGCTCCTGCACACCTGGAGCCTATTGCAGACAATCAAGCCAGAGGGATTTAAACCACACGTTGATGTTCATTCTAGTGATGGGCAGTTGAAGCCCCATGAAGCACTGAAGCTTTTCATCCAATTGGTTCACCCCAACGCGAAGCTTCATGAAGCTTCATTTGCTCTAGCAGGACACCTACTGGACGTAAAAATAATAGCTGGCATGAATTTGAAGAGTGTGGCATTTTGCACACAGCCTGTAAATGTCAACAACAAAAGGAGTGTGTAAAACATGTATATTGTAGTGATGGCAGTATACTGTGTATATTTATAGTGGCAGTATGGGAAATGATTATTTGGAAATGCTTGAAATGGAAATGATCATTTACTGTGAGGTGAGGTGTGGTTGGGGTGTGGACAGTAGTTGTGCTTTTATAACGTTGAGGTATGGACAGCTACACACTGAGGCTTTGAGCCTCAGTCCTGCCTGTTCACATTTTATTCTGTAAAAACTAAATTTTCACTGCTTTTATGACCTTTTTAGTGGGGAGAACATAGCTAGGATTTAATGATTTAACAAATCTTTTGAATCCTTTGTCCTCCACAATGCTAAATAGCTGGGAGTCCTCAATCACCATGCTGACCAGGTCTTCATCTATTTGAGATTGTTCTCCTGAGGAAAGACAATAAAGACAAAGCACAAATATAAATATCACACACGTAACTTATAACAGTTGTATAATATTGTTATATCATTTAGTAACATTACTGCATGCTATATTATCATTGCATTTGATGGCTCACGTGGTCTTGCTCCACGATCGGTGTCCCCCTTATTCTCATGCAAAGCTCTGTAGTGCCTAAGCATGGATGAGGTGTTGTTGTTATATCCCAGCTCCCTGGCACATAGCAAACACTTCACCTTGTACAAAAGTCAAGACAGCTCAACATAAATTGTATTGCACCATCAGTATCATGAAAATACATCTTCTGTAGAAATACCTTGTTGGGAGGAATAAGATCAAAATGTTCCCACACAGGGGAGGACATCCTCCTCTTCTTAGCTGGCTCCATTCTCTCCTGACTTTCCTCACTCTCATAAACCTCCATACGGTCTCCAAACTCTCACTAACCGCAACTCTCCATCAAACACCCACATTTTTGAATGAAGTCTGAGGGGTTTATATCGCTGTCATATCTCGCGGCAAAGTTCGAACCACTTCATGAACCAGTCACGTGGTACAGCCGGGCAGCGAGGCTTCGGACGTCATCATTTTCAGCTCCTCCCATAAATGAAGCAAGCCTCGATACGCGCTTCGCGGAAACGCCCCCTCCATTACTCGACACACGCTCCGAAGCCTCGATACAGAACGTCCCATCACTAGTTCATTCACCGCCAGTTTGTCATCAACACATGTTGGTAACAGGCCTTATACTTCAAGTTCTTGCTGTGATCTATCTTGTTAACACGACTCTCTTGTGCTGCAGTTGCTGTATTCACCTTGGCTCACGCTCCACCTCCGAACTCAAGATACCAAGCAATCCTTCTGAAAATCTCTCTGTGCCTCACCTGCCTGCCCTCCTGCCATCACACTCCATCTGAAGCCCCGGATCTCAGACCAGCCTTTCCACGCCACTCAGCCTCCCCTGGATTCTCATACCCCCCTCTCAACACTCCATGTCCCCTACTGCAAGTAAGAATTGCTACTCTTACAACTAGCCACTTCAGAGCTGCCTCCACTACCTCCCTAACTCCTCTATCTTCTCTCTTCAGTGTGACTGTTCCCTGCTCAGCTCCACTCCGCATCTCAGGCCTCATTCCCTCGCCCTAGCCACGTTCCCCAGGCCACGCCTCGTCAAACTCCACGTCTTATTGTTTTTTTGTCTTTGCTACGTTTTCTTTTTTGCACTTTAGCCTAATAAATTGTTACATCATCTGCTGTCTCTGCTCTGGGTTTCTGCACCTGAGTCCTGTTCAGTACAGGCCACTCGGCCCTGTGACAGCCTCATAGCTTAGAAAGTATCATTCTTAGAAGTGTGTTGTCAACATATAGAAAGTGCTATTTAAAGATTTAAGATATGTCACATTTGACCTCTGACCTCTCCTTCAAGATCAATAAGGAGCCAGACAAAATTAACCCTAGTAAATATAACATGCACTTTTTCAATGGTGATTTCATTTTTAAAAATTATCCAAACCAGTCTGACCCTGTGTGGAAAAAGTAATTTCTCCCTAAACGTAATATCTGTTTGTTATTAAGACATGTGGCAGTAAGAACTCTTCTTTACAGAACTGTTTAATTTCAGCAACATTAAATCTTTTTCAAGCATGAACGAAGTGTTCAAGGTCTTACAAAGCATTTCTATCAGGTTTGAGTCGGGCCTTTGACCAGGCCGCTTCTGTTCTGTTCATCTTGACAGAGAACAGAAAGCAGAAAACATCTAAAGAAGAGCTTTAAATGTTGTCCAAGAAGCCCACGGGATTATTCCTGAAGACTACCTATTTTAGAAAGCTTGTCTAAGAGACTTCAGGCTGTGTGAATAAATTGTGAATAAAAACAGACCTAAAATATTGACTTTCAAGCTCATTAGTACTTTGCTAACTCTGTTTTAGTCTTATATACTAAATGTCCATGCGTTTCTGCATTTGTTTCAATATATGACAGCATCACCTTCCCATTTTCTTAGCAAAAGTAGTTAGGGGTAAATGAAGACCTATGCAAAGCAGTGTGTCATGTCACATTAAGGTAAAACTTGTTTTGTCAGGACATGTGTTATTCAGTTTCAGATTACGCATCTGTTTTATTGGACTCCCTCCAGACTCTTGAGACTTGCGCCAAGGCCTACTGCAAACTGTTGGAGACGCAAGTTTAAACAAAGAAATTGAATTCATGTTTATGGTCATGTGATAAGGTGAGTTCTGGGGAAAGATTTCTAAAATTCTGATTGTTTGTTTTGGGAGACGAGTCAAACTGGACAGGTGATGGCAAACGCATGCAGGCTGGTGGGCTGCTCTGCTGCTGCGTGGACCAGGTCGGTCTGTTGTCTCCACCCTAGAGGAAAGCGGACCATCTTGTCTGGAGTCTGGAGGTTGATTGCCCCTCTGGGGGTGTAGGTGCCGGCACCAGGGAGTATAGTGTGTGTATGGGGAGCGTGAGTGTGTCTTCATGTTCGGAAAGTGTGAGCGTGAGGGTGAGAATGCATGTTTGTGTCCGTGTCTATGTGTCAGGTCAGGTCTCCACCTCCGCCTCTCTCAGAACATCTCAGATGGCTTTTTTTTTTTGGCCGTCAGACAATAATTCTGATTGCTACATTAGCAGGCAGGAACAACAACAAAAATAAAACAAAGAAAAAAAATAAAAAGAAAAGAAGTTGGATTCAGTCTAGTATTATGAGAGCAAGGCAGATTCTTCTCGGCAGTTTGTAAGTGAAAGGGAGTGCCATCAGTCTGAAGGTGGGCCTGTGAGATGGGTAGCTGGAGCATTTGAAAACATATAATAATAGAAAGGTTGGAGGTACACTATATACTATATATTAAGAGTGATGGAGCTTATTTGACTGCAACCAATGATGATTGATGGTGATGAATTTGTTTCATATTTTTTTGCATTGTAATGTCATAAATGTTTGGGGAAAAAATCATGATAATAAAACTGTTCTGATTTTGCTATTCCCTAAAGCAGAGCACAATAACACAATGCTAAAAAAAAGAGAGAGAGACAGAGAGATGGTCGTTTACAAAGACACAACAGAGGACAGTCTGTCCGCCGCTTGGGGGCAACAATCCCAGATTCACTCCATACAAATTCTAACGTCAAAGTTTCCTGTGACCACTAGATGGCGAAAGAAGCCAAGAGAAATATGTCCCATGTGGCGGCCAGACCTGCATCACTGACAAAGTAAATACCAGACTTTTACAAGCTTTCTGTTTTTATTCCCCAGAGAAAAGTCAACCAGAAAGAGAGAGAGGGGGGTAAGACAGTATGTTCCGTTTGTTTCAAATCGTGATGTGAGAGGATGTAGTCTAGTCTAGGCTCAACCTAAACCTCCAGACTTCTAATGTTGTTGGCCTTGCATGATTTGCTATTACTGAAACAACTGGGAACATTTAAAAGGAAATCTCGGCTGTGATTACTGCTTGCAGAGATGTTTGTAAATTGAAATTGACAGTAAGGAAGTAAAACGAAAATACGGTTTTCCTGCAGGGTTTACTAAGTATGATTAGGAAGCACCGATTTTATCAGCAGACTAAAGTCATCATTTTGTGAAGTTGTAGGTGGAAGGGTTTCTGTGGGCCCTTTAATTCCATTACATAATAACAAAGTGAAAAAGGAAAGGAAAACAACAGCCCACTTTCAATTTGATTAATCTGCCTGGTAAAAATGAAAGTATGATGGTGTTGAGCTTGATTTTGGTTTCATCTGACCGCTATATTTTCTTAAGACGGATCTGTACTTCTTGAGGGGACCTGGCGGACGCTGCAGGATTTGAATGCATTAAAATGTAGTGTTACAAATGGTATTCTTGGTGACTGCAGTCCCAACTGCTTTCCGATTTTTAGCAAGGTCCTCGTTCCTCCTTTGGGCTGATGCACCACTTTGCTCTTGATCATCCTCACCCCAGATCTTGAATGGAGCTTCAGACTGAGGGAGATTGAAGGGCGAATTTATATTTCTTCCATTTCCAAATAACCACACCAACAGTTGTCACCTTCTCACCAAGCTTTTTGGTGATGGTCTTGCAGCCCATTCAGTATTTTTGTACGATTATCATATGACAGATGTGTTACAACTTGTAACACTTGTAGTGGGAGGCTAAAACGTGCTCCTGCCGTTACTGTGCTGTCCAGTAGGCGGCAGGCGTAGACCAACATGATTTATGGGCATGACTGGAACAAAGCACCCCTAGGGACTATAGGCTCTCCTCATTGCAGGCTTCCAGTATTTCTTTCTGATGGATCAATGACAGTAAAAGTGCAGGTGCGTTCGTAGATAAATAGATAGATAGCTTCTGGTTCGTACTCATTTTTCATTTTTTGGCACCGAGGAAAATGTGTACTATTGCTAATTTTTTTCACATAATGTGGAACTACTGTTGGATCCGTGACTGCTATATTCTTATAAGCAGTCACAGCTTCTTTAGTATGTTTGTTTCAAAAATACAAGAGTCAGTCAAAAGCCTGTCAGACCTAGAAATATAATTGAAGCTGTGCTATTGTGATGCATGATTCTGGGTGTGACGCACTTGTCTAAATCATTTCCTTTTAAAACAAGCAATGCCAGTGACTGTGCACATTATGGAGCCTTATTAAAGGCAGAGCTGCAGTTTATGGAACTTGCTCCTAAATGTTTATATCAATATGATTTCTCCTCGTGTCTGGTAACAAGACTTTACTCATGAAGAGCATTTTGATCCAACTGCCTTGTTAGTCCTACATTTGCATTCATCCTTCACCAGAATCCAGTTTATCTCTTTCAGTTTGCTTATCATCTCGTCTCTGCAAAAGGTCGCTGTGTTCTCTCAGCAAAGAATAACACCTAGTATTCCCATAAGTCTTTGGAATTACATTCACTTGTTATCACACACACACTCAAAAATCAAGTGGTGTTTCTTGTTATTATAAAAGCCCCCAGTGGCTCTCAGACCTGAAGCACGATTGGCTCATTGCATCTGTTGCTAGGCTACGGCTGTATGGTATGTCTCGGCATCGCATTAAGGAGGAAAATGAAAAGAGATGAGAACAAGGAGAAGATGCTATATAACATTATTTAATAATGGTAATCTATGGCGTAACCATAAAACATTTACAAAATATTCACAGGCCGATGCTGTCCGTTGACAATACATTTATTTCAACGCTATATATTCAAATAAAAAGTTTATACTCGGAGCACATCGTTCAGACGCTGCGTCCTGTAGAGAAATCAATCATGTGTGACATCATACAATAATCTCCATACTAATTTCATTTACATATCCAAGAATCTGCAAACAAACGCCGGTACAAACCGAGAATAACGGCCCTGTACAAAATTTACAACAGAACATCTTATCATATAAGCCATCAGACATGGTCTAAAATGACCAATAATTTCTCCCTGATCACCGCGTACAAATACATTGCACCTCAGTCTCATTTTCGTAAAAATGGTATACATCTCTCAATCACAAATGGGTGATTTTTTTTCTATAAAGATTCCTCACATGATAACATGATGTGAAAATAGCTTATGTCATTTCAACAGGGCAAACACAAACTGTGTTAAACATTTCTATTGCTATATATATATATATATATATATTTATTGATTTCAGAGGTTTCTCAATGTATGAAAAGTGCCTTTACATTTGTGGCAGGAATTTACAGTAAGAGATCATTATTGGTGAATGTCTGTCCTTTTTTTTTTCTTCTTCAGGGCAAAAAAGTATGTGCTTCCTTTCCGTTAGCTTTGTGAGATAACAAAAAAAAGTCTGGTGAGGATCAACGGGCTCGCCCTTCTTTTTTTGGTCTTTACATCAAAAACAAACTCCAAGAGGGAGAAGCGACGGTGGTTTGATTTTGTCTTGAAAAACTCAAGGAAGAACTCTACAGTTTTAACAGTTTTCTAGCAGTCCAATTGGAAGCAACTGGAGCACAGATCGGTTTATGTTCATCAGCTTCCACCACCTTCTGCTCTGCCTGCGTTCTTCACTCATATTTCCCCGGCTCTCTTGGAACATCAGACCTGGGAGATCTCTCAAAATTGCCGTCCATCATGCAGCGGCCGGTGTAGGGAAAGTAGCAAGCCAGGCCTGCATATGGAGTAAGGCGGTTCCCAAAGGCAGTTACCCCATTAAGCTGTCTGAACTTAAGGGTCTATGCGGAAAGCTAAAAGCTTGTCAGAGTGTTGGTTATTCAGGGTGCGCAGGTCCGGCAGACGAAGCAGCAACTTTGGGA